CTAAAAAAAAAGAGGCAAGAAAAACGCAGCACCCAGACATAGGAAAATGATGACTGACAGGAACAAAAACTCCTTTTAATGATAGAGACAAAGACAAATTGAAAAAGTGAGAACAAAGAAAAAATATAAAATATAGTGTATGTCAAAATAGATGAAAAGTATAATGTATAGCATATTAACTAAATGTTCTTCTACAGTGACAGGAAAGAGATTGGGTAACAGAGGAATGGTGTAATTGGAATGTAATATAGTAGAAAAAGAGATGCAGTAATGGAGCTAAAATGAAACAAATGCCCCCTGCCCTTTTTTTTTTAAATTGGTCGTGACATTTGTAACCCTCTACAACCACTGCTGCTGGGTTAGTGAGGGATTAATAAACTAGCACAGTGACTGAACACAGAGGAAGAGAAAGGAGATAGTTCTTACCCTCATATTGCCAATCTGCATAAAGAGACAGCCATGTTCCATAAGGAGGGAAAAGGGAAGGAAGGAGGACAGAAAGACAGAAAAAGCAAAGGAAGAAATTCATGAAAGAGATGAGCATCAGGATAATCATTAGACAAAAAATGGGATGTCAAACATAAAATGCACTAAAGAGGCTCGAAGTTTTGAAAAAAACAAAATGGGACTAGATAAATAAAGTACAAGCAATCAAAACGTTCTGTGAGGTGTGTGTTTGCACGTGCAGTACGCAAAAATGGATGTGTTTATCTCTGTAAGCTTTTTCCACCTCCATTCACAACCACCAGCAGCACTTACTGTATCACTATGAGGAGAAATAATTTTAACCTGAGCTGGAGGATTAAAATGGTCTCACTCAAAGGGGGGAGAAAAAAGCTGTTCAAGGATTCTCCTTTATCCCTCCGTCCTTGCCAAGATACAGGAATACAAGAACACCCACATTCACCAGACAGGGCAAAGTTATTGTACACCTCTTGAGGAAAACAAAATCCCACAGGAAGGCTTGAAGATGGATATCTGCTCACCTAGAAAATAGACTTCATGGAACAATGATCACATTCACACTCTCTCTCCTGCTCTCTCTCTTCCCCTTAATGATTAAGCTTTACAACTGCTTGGCGTCATAGATTATCCCAGGATTCATTGGTACTGTTTGTTTCTTGCAATGCGAGACGGTAGTAAATGTTCCCAAATACAGATTAAACTGTCCTGGGGCTCTGAATGAACTCATCTTAGTTCTGAAAACAATTGGTTTTCCAATTTGTCATGGTGACAAGAACGCTAACAATGTTTCTTAGCTCACAGGTGTGCAGATTTAAAGCCTAGCGCTGAAAACCAAATGCTAGCTTGTGGATTTTACACAATTATACTTTTCACCATACTTTGTTGAATGTATTTGAATTTTATAAGTGTATGACATACATACATATAGTACATACTTACAAATATGCTAAAATATAAACAACATTCATGGTTGTCATGTTAGGAGATTTGGCATTGATTAGCAAGCACGTGCTTGAGCTACTGTATATGCTACCAGGCAGTGTGGTTAAGTAAAGAAGTTCACACTCTATTGTCTATAGTGTCAAGTTTTCTAAAAAACCTTCTTTTAATCCTTAATAACAACTCTCCTTTTGTACCCAGTTGGCCACTGGGTGCAATTCTTTCTCTCTATGAATTAAAGGACTTGAATACCAAAGACAGAAGATTGTGTGTTACATGTTGCAGTCACTGACTCTATATAAAAGATGGATGAATGCTCCGTAATGTCACCACTAGTTTTCTGAAGAACTGTTTTGAACCTCAAGTCTGGGCATCACCATCTTGCTTCACTATGCCTGCTACAGCCAATCAAACATTGGGTGAAGAGGTGGCGAGTGAGTGAAGCCCACTAGACAGCCAGTGGCTAGCTATCTGTGGTGGGACCCTCCCGTCTGTCACTCAACGCTGCTATGTTCTTAATTACAGTATGTGTAACTTTTAGTCTCAATATAACTTACACTTGTTTTATAAAAATTCACCCCTCCCTCCATACAATTGTCATTGTTTTTTGTACCAGGCTGTAAACGTGTTTTAACATGCCGGTTTATGGGGACTGACTCCCTTTGGGGCCAACGGCAAGTGGCCATTGGAGGAACTGCAGGTTTTAACACTTCCACACTGGTTTAATTTCTCAGCCTCGGAGGTTGCTGCTTAGTTGCAGTCAGCAATATACTCACTCACTTTTTGAGAGCTTGAGCAATACAACCAATAATGCGGTTTTGTAATGTGCAGGAGGTCAATGTTACACTTCTTGTTTCACCTCTCGCTGAAAGTTGAGCAACCAACCAGTGGTAAGCTGTTAATGAGAGGCCATGACGGGAACCTTCATTAGCTTTCCAACCACAAACATGGCTCCGTTGTAGTTATCCAACATCCCAGGTCTCTGTGGTGGTGGGTTACAATTTTACCCTTTCACCATTTGAAGCTTTTCTAAGGGGGCATCTCTATGCCATGGAACAATAGTCACTAGTTACATCACACTCTACCAGCTGGCTTGTGAGTGTGTGTGCATGTGTGTACAAGAGTGTGTGAACAGCAGATGACAGATGTGTATCCCCTGCCTGACTGGCTTTTTATCCTTCAGTGTAAGCTGATGCCCCTCATCTATTACTAACCAGCCAGTTGCTCTCTATGGGGCATCTTTGGCTCTGCCTCTTCTCATCTGCTTCCCTCTCTTTACTTGTCAGTCTGCTTTCCCCCTCAAATAATAAAAATTAAATGGGATGAAACAGTAAACAGCCTGGTTTGTAACACAAGTGACAAAGGAACACAATGAGATCTGGAATTAAAACTACATCAGTTGAAGAGACAGGTAATGTGAATTTAAAGCCCAGTCGCTTGAAGAAAATGTAGGCACCTCTTTCAAGGGTAATCTTTAAAACAAATGCGTCCAAGGATTTGCAAAAAAGTTGAATTATTAATATGAAATTAAGTTGCTTCATACTTTTAACAGAGCCTAAATTACATAAAGTGTTATGGTAATTCTCTTTCTCTCTGCATTAGTTACACACCAAGGAGGGAGTGAATTTCACTGAAATGCAAATTCTCTCTTCTTCTTTCATATAGGTGACCAGAGTACACTTGTTTGTGTATGTGAAGGCTTCAGTCCTGGTCTTCACCATGTGAGGGACTAAACCACCACCAGCAGTAGACTTGGTTGGGTTTGTTTTTGTTTTTTTTTTGTTTATGTGAGTAGTTTAAAGTTATAGGTAAAGGTTGGGTGTTGTTTGGCATTGGACATACATAACTAAATCAGTGAACATGCACATTTGATAAATTTTGTATTGTTAATATGTTTAAATTTTCTTTTGAGTTACCATGTTTCCTGGTACATGGACGGGGGGCGGTTCTGACAAAAGATTAGACTGAGGAGGGCAGCAGGTTTAAATACCTCCCACTAGGGCTGGACTGCACCAAATGCCCAATACAAGGACCCTTCCTTGTATTTTGGGAGAAATGTATTGTTTGTTTGTAGATTGTTAATTTCTGTGTTATATATATATATATATGTTCCCCTGTGTGTGTGTGACTTATTAGGACATTTGTTTTTTTGTTGTTGTTGTTGCTGCTGTATCAGACAGTTCAGTTTGCTGTATTTCGAGTTTCCTTATCTTCTGTTGACCTCTTTTAGGGCCCAGTTTATTAGATATTGTTTGTATGTTTCCTTATTATTGGGTTAATAAAAAGCCCATTTCTTTGAACTTTAAAAGCTGTCTTTTGCCTTATTGTTTGGTCCCTGACAGTGTAAGATAGGCCTGTCCAATAAAAGCATTCCTATAGCATAGTCATTGTATGCAGGTACTTCTGTTTTAAGTGTACTTGCTTACCGTCAAATGTTTACTTGTGCATTTCCCCTCACTGACAAGTACCTGTCTTCCTCACTTATTCTCAAAGTTTCTGGAAAAAACAATCACTGAAACAACTGTGCGCATGAGAAGCTGAATAAATCTATTGTAATGCCAGGTTTCTGTCAAGCTGATGAAAAGCTCCATGGGGAGCTGTGTGAGGGGAATGAGGGTGAAGTGTTCAAGGTGTGGACCACATAAAAAAGGCTTAAAACTTTGAGAAGGAATGATCCCTTAAGACAATATCACAGGCAGTCAATGAGAAAAGGCTTGATTTGTTTCAGGTTTATCATCCATTCAATGCCACTTTATTTAATGCTGGAGTGTTTCAGTCAATATTTTTTTATTTACTATTCAAATTCTGTCCATCTACATTTGGCAGGTATGGTTTGCCAAGGGTGGCAGGAAAGAAGGCCCATTAAGAACAAAGCTGATTGAGGAAAAAGGGAGCGAGTGACTGCAGCTGAAGACAACAGCAATCACCCAATGGGCCAGGCAAGCTTGTTGTTTGGTATACACATTACACAGACATGCTGCTTAGGAACCGTTTCCTCATAACACACTTCCATGTGCACATCCCCACTGCTTCAGACAGTTGACACAGTTGAGCTCATATGCCTGTCTGAACTTACACACTCATGCATCCTAGAGTTACAATAAAATATACATGCTCAGACTGACTCAACAGGGGCACCTGGACACTGCTAATGGTGTGTTTGTGTGTGTGTGTCCAAAGGCAGGATCCATGTACCCTATGAATGACTCACAGAGAGAACTGGCTCCATTGCCTACATCATTAATACCAGCTTTAATATTATGATGTTGTAACACTATTAAAGGAATAGTTTGATATTCCTTGAGAACTTTTTAATGCAAGTGCTTTGGGACAGGCCTCGGGTATATCCGTTGCTAGCTGTTTCCTCGTGCTTCCTCCGGGCTTTACACTAAACTAAAATAACTCGATTCTGGCTTTATGACAGTGGCATTGTTTCTTGGCAAAAAAGGAAATCATTGTAAATATCTAAATAACATTAGCTAATTCAAAGCTAACATCTAATTACTTACTATACACATTTCTATTCTTTTGTACCATACCTGAGAGTATTTCTATCTTGGGTATAGTTAAATATATGTGGCCTTGCTATGGAACATACCGGGGAAAGAAAACGATAAAATGTCTGGGAAAGCTAAGGTGGACCAGAAGCATTAGGGAAGACAATCAGAATAGTGATCATAGCTGCAATCCATATATTAAGTCCAGTGGCATAAAATCCTATGGCATAGAATGGTATGAGGATGCTTTCTTCACAAATGACAGAGAGGGATATTGCAAGCATCCTCTGATCCAGCTGAGCTCTCACACTGGCCTGCTTCCACAGAAATAATTGACTCATTTCATGACTGATGACTTTTCATATTGGGTCTGTGAATGATGCACTGTGGGCCCATTTCACAGGACAGACAAAGCGGCAGGCAGTTTTCTAAAGATAATGTTCTGATTTCTTCATTTTTATCCACTGGGGAATGGGTTGAAGTTGATATTTGTAATTGTAGTAAAGTAAAACTACTTCAAAGCATATATTTTAAATGATT